GACCCCGACGCCTTGCACGACTTTGTGCTGTTCTCCGCGTCCCGCGAGTACTTGACCATCGCTCCGGCGCAGCTGCAGACGCGGGGCGGCGGGGCGGTCGGCCGGCGGTCAAAGTCGCACGCGGGGCAGCCGGACGACGGAGGGCCCGGGAGGGGTGGAGCGGAGGCGCGACGGGGGGCGGGGACGGAGGCGCTGCGCGGCGCCGCTCGCGAGTCATCGGCGGGCTGTCGCTCTCGCGCAGCTGCGGAGGCACGGGCACGGCTGCAGCGCCCCTCCCGCGAAGGGAGCGGCAGCGGCGCCGCGCAGAGCGCAAGCGAGCAGGCGGCGATGGCGCCGGCTAGAGCCGCACGCAGTGGCGCCCCGCTCCACGCGGGTGCGGCGGGCGGCGAGGCAAGCGTGCCTGCTAGCTTAGGCGAGAAGCCACGGTCCGCGAGGTCGACCGCGTTTTCTTTTTTCCTTGTAGTGAGTTCAGGGTGTGTGGCAGCCAGCTGGCTGTGTGTCTTGTGAGCTTGTTTGTGTCTGTGTGTCGTTCGTGCGTGTCGTCATCATCTGTCTCGCGTCCACCCATACCGCGTTGGTGTCCAGTCCGAGCCTGGCTGTTCTTCACCTTTCTACCTACCTACTACCTGAGTTTCGGCTCCCGCGGAGGCACGGCTGGCATCCGTGGCGCGGGGCTCGTCTTCAAAAAGTCGGGCATGGCTCCGCCCGCAACTTTCTCGCTAACACGCGCGCACCACCGACCATGAAGGGGAGGCGTGTCTCGCCGGATGACGTGTCCACCAGCGTCGACGTGAGCTGGACCGCGCCATCGAGGTCGGCCGGGTGCACCTTGGTGCCGTGCCGACTCCTCCGGCGCGAGAGGTGTGCCACCGCGAGGCCGCCCTCCTTGTCGGCGTAGACGCGAGCCAGCGTGCGGAACTCGGGCCCGTACTCGAGCCCGCCCTCGCGCAGCGCCGTGTACAACGCCGTGTGCTCGAGCGCGGCCGAGGTGCCCGTGAGCTCGCGCACGCAGGCTGGCTGTGGGCACGCCGGGGCCTTGCCGGCCGCGCCCGTGCTGCCAGCGCAGTGCACCACCTTCTCCCCCTCCTCCGTCGTCTTGGAGGAGATCTCGAAGCGCTCGCCGGCCCCATCCACGTCGCACAAGACCAAATCGCCGTCGGTCGCGTCGAGCACGAGCGGCTGCAGAAAGTAGACTCGCTCGAGCACCGCGGCCTCGGCATTGCTGACGGCGCAGTACGCCTCGCGCGCCATCTCCAGGTAGCCGGCGCCCGGAAAGACGACGTGGCCCTTGACTCGGTGGCCGAGCACGAGCTGCACGAAGGGACCGCGAGCGGGCGAGACGAAGGTGTCCTCGGAGGCGCCGTCGGTCGTCTCGAGCCGCCGCTGCAGGAGCACGTTGACCTCCTCGCGCCAGGCAAAGACTAGTCGCCGGTAAGCGCCTCGATGCACTTCAACTCGCCTGCGCGGGTCGACGCGTCCGAGAGAGCGCCCTCGAGCAGCCCCTGCTGCGCAACGCCGTTGGGCGCGGTGAGCGAGGCCGACTTGCCGTCCTGCCGCACGCAGCTGCCAAGGAGGGGGAGCTGGTAGTGCGTGGTCGCCGTGCGGGCCCGCAGCGCCATGCCGCAGATCGCCTCTCCTCGGCAGTAGCCGTCGGCGCGCGAGTCGAAGGTGTGGCAGCGGCCCCTCGCCGAGGTCATCCCGGCAGTCGCAAAGGCAAACGCGGTGCCGGGCAACAGCATCACACTGGCACCCGCCACGAGGCCGTCGGCGCACTCGTCGTTCTGCATTGCGCGCAGCGATGCGTGGCAGGCCGCGAGGGCGGCCGAGCAGGCGGTGTCGTACGAGACGCACGGGCCCATCAGGCCGAGCGCGTAGGAGATGCGGCCCGAGGCGACGGAGAGGGTGGAGCCGGTCGCCGAGTAGACTGAGTTCGCGTAAGGAGTCGACTTGATCACCTCGCCAAAGTCCATGGCGGCGATCCCGACAAAGACGCCCGTCAGCGAGCCCATCAGCTCGACCTTGCCCAGGCTGGAGGCGTGCAGCGCCTCGTACCCAGCCTCGAGCAGCATCCGCTGCTGCGGGTCCATCGCCGCCGACTCGGCGGGCGAGATGGAGAAGCACTTGTTGTCGAATAGGTCGGCGTCCGTGATGAAGGCGCCGTGTCGGATGCGGCGTGCGACCTCGCCATCCCCCGACGAGCTTGGCGGCAGGCTCCACCGCCCGTGAGGCACCTCCGAGGCGGCGTCCGCACCGCTCGCCGACATCAGTTGGACTAGCTCGCGCGAGGCATGGCCGAGAGGCAGCCTGGCGGCGAGGCCCGCCATGGCGACATTGCGCCGATCCAGCTCGCCCGGTGGCGCAGACACACCGCTGCCCATCTCGCGCTGCTGCGAGAAGGAGCCGACGATGCCACGCAGAGTCGGGTAGTCGAAGATGAGGGTCTCTGGAAGCTCGGGTACGCCGATGCGCTCCGAGAGCAGCGCGCCAAACTCGACCGCCGCGGCCGAATCGAGGCCAGCCTCCATGAGGGGCGCGTCCGCGGAGACGCCAAAGCCGACGACCTCGGCAACGATCGCCTGGGCTTCCTCGATGGAGATTGGAGAGACGGATGCAGGCGGTGGCGGCGGCAGCGCCGTAAGCGTGTCATTGTTGAGATAGCCGACGATGCCACGCAGAGTCGGGTAGTCGAAGATGAGCGTCTCTGGCAACTCGGGCACGCCGACGCGCTCTGAGAGTAGCGCGCCAAACTCGACTGTAGCGGCCGAGTCGAGGCCACACACACACACACACACAGCGGTTAGGTAGGTAGGTAGAAAGGTGAAGAACAGCCAGGCTCGGACTGGACACCAACGCGGTATGGGTGGACGCGGGACAGATGATAGAGAGAGAGAGAGAGCTCTCTCTCTCTCTCTCTCTCTCTCTCGGGACAGATGATGACGAGTGCTGCGCCCCCTCCCCCAAAGGGAAGAATCTTCAAAGGGAAATCCTGGGCGAAAAAGGGAAATCTTATGCATGCTCATGTGCATGAACGCCATACCGCAGCGCCAACCGGCAGCTGTAGTCTAACCTCAGGTGCATCGCTAGAACAGGAGGTGCGAGCAGCGGTGGGTTCTCGCGAGCAAGCAGCGGTGGGAAGCGGAGCAGCGGATGGTGGCGGAGGCGGCGAAGTAGTACAGCCGGCCCAGCCTGTACAGCCGCTCCCACCACCACAGCCATCGACCGTGTTGGCGGCCACAGCCACCGCCGCCGCCACTGCCGCACCTTTCGCCGAAGGACTAGCCTCAACAGCAATAGCGCCTGTCGCCGCCGCGGCCGCAGCCGCCACACCACCGCCGCCACCGCCAGGACCGGCCGCCGCCTTGGCGGAGCAGGACGCCGCTGAGGGACAATCGGCGGCCGATGGGGCCGCAATGGCTGCGGCGTCGGGAGAAGGAGGCAGGGGGCGGGACGTATCGCCGGCGGGCCGTGCAGAGTCATTGCCACCGCCTACAGCCACTCCTGCACCGGACGATCGGGCGTTGGCAGAGCAGGGCGGCGGTGGCGGCGGCCGCGTCGCCTTTTACTACGCCGCGGGGGTCGGGCACTCTCCGGCGCCGCGCGACCGGCGGCGGATGATTGAGGTGGCGGAGCGGGTGACCGAGGCGTACGACGCGCTCAGCGCCGCGGGGCTCGTGCAGCGCTGTGAGCGGCAGGAGGCGCGGTTGGCGAGCGACGAGGAGTTGCGCCGCGTGCACCGGCAAGAGCATCTGGAGCAGGTGCGGCGGCGGCCGGAGGAGCAGCTTGCAATCGATCTCCCGCACCCTCCCGCACTCTCCCGCACTCTCCCGCACTCTCCCGCACCCTCCCGCACCCTCCCAAGGAAGTGTCTAGGAAATTCTAGGAAATGTCTAGGAAATGTCTTCCTAGGTGCGGCGGCGGTCGGAGGAGCAGCGGCCAGCAAACGGTTCGGTCTACTCCTCCGAGGCGGACACTTCTAGGAACCTTCTAGGACCCTTCTAGGACCCTTCTGCTAGGCTCTGTCTACTACTCGTCCGAGGCGGACACGGCCGCGCGACTCGCATGCGGCATCGCTGTCCACGCCTCGCCTCTCACCTCCCGCTGTGAGTCGGCACCTCTTCACACCTCCACCCGTGCACAGGCGCCGTCGTCGACGCCGCCCTCGCCGCCGTCGCACCGGGAGGGCCCCGGCGTGCGTTCGCGTTGGTGCGGCTGCCGGGGCACCGACACGTCCAGGACACGTCCGCGACACGTCCGCGACAACACCCGCGCAGGTGCGTCCGTCGAGGCACCGACATGTCCGAGACATGTCCGAGACATGTCCGCGACATGTCCGCGACACGTGCAGGTGCGGCCGCACGTCGCGACATGTCCAGGACACGTCCGCGACACGTCCGCGACAACACCCCCCGTGCAGGTGCGACCGCACGTCCGAGACATGTCCGAGACATGTCCGAGACATCTCCGAGACATGTCCGCGACACGCGTGCAGGTGCGGCCGCCAGGGCACCACGCGTCGCGCGACGGCTTCGAGGGCGGCTTCGCCGAGGGCGGATGCTTCTACAACTCGGCGGGAGATGTGGGGAGATGTGGGGGAGATATGGGGGAGATGTGGAGAGATACGGGGCGATATGGCGGCTGCTTCTACACCCGAGAGATGCCCCGAGATGTGCCCTAGACACATCCGAGATACACCCGAGATACACCCGAGATGCACCCGAGATACACCCGAGATGCACCCGAGATACACCCGAGATGCACCCGAGATGCACCCGAGCCGTGCCCGAGCCGTGCCCTCAAGGTGGCGGCCGCGGCGGCGGCGGCGCGAGCGGCGGGCGTGGAGCGGGTTGCGATCCTCGACTGGGACGTCCATCACTTAATTACGTATGATTAGTTGTGTGCTATTTACTCAGGTTGCGATCCTCGACTGGGACGTCCATCACGGCAACGGCACGCAGGAGATCTTCTACGAGGTGTCGCCCCCCCTTGCTTTGCGGCCGTAGATTTCTTTTTCCGAGGCGCGCGGCGTCCTTGTTTTGAAAGGAGCCGCGCTGCTGCGCTGCGTCGCCGATTCCTCGGCCCGAGCGCCACGGCCTTCTTTTTTGGACAGGAGTCGCCGGAGTGCTGTGCGAGGCGGTGTCGTGGTCTCGTCTCTCACGCTCCCTAGCTTGGACAGGACTCGCATGTGCTGTACGCCTCGCTGCACGCCGACCTCTACCCAGGCACCGGCGCGGCCGCCGAGGCCGGGCCGGCCGACGCCGCCGCCACGGGGCGAAACGTCAACGTGATGTGGCCAGACCCGACGCGATACCCCGCCGCCTCCGACGGCGACTACCGCGCCGCGTTGGACGTGCTGCTGCTGCCGATCATGCGCGCTTTCGACCCGGCCCTCGTGCTGGTCTCTGCTGGCTTTGACGCCGCCGCCGGTGAGTCGCTTCAAGCTCGCTCTCTCTCTCCAGCATCCATCGCATGTGCACACGCACGCACACACACACACACACACACACACACACACACACACACACACACACACACACACACACACACACACACACACACACACACACACACACGCACGCACGCACACACACACGCACGCACACACACACACACACACACACACACACACACACACACACACACGCTCACACACACACACACACACACACACACACACACACACACACACACACACCGCTCACCCACGCGCACTGGGCCTTGCACTTTGAATGCCGTGGGGCTCCTGTCGTCAGAGGGGAGACGCGAGGGTTGCCTGGCCCTTGCCCTACCACCTCGTGTGTGTGGAGAGGTTTACCTTGCCTTACCTCACCTGCACATGAATGAACTAGGCGCGAGGCGGATCAACCTGTTGCTCTCTCACCCACCCATCACTGACGGAGGTCTTCTTGAATGAATGACTCAGGCGCGTGATTCACGCTCTAATTAGTTAATTGACTAACGAGACCTTAATTAATGAATGAATGACTCAGGCGCGTGATTCAGCCTCTAATTAGTTAATTAATCAACGAGACCTTAATTAATGAATGAATGACTCAGGCGCGTGATTCACGCTCTAATTCGGATTAATTAATCAACGAGACCTTAATTAATGAATGAATGACTCAGGCGCGTGATTCACGCTTTAATTCGTTAATTAATCAACGAGACCTTAATTAATGAATGAATGACTCAGGCGCGTGATTCACGCTCGATGAGTCTCTCCCCCTCCTCCACCCATGCGGAACGCAGTGAATGACTCAGGCGAGTCCTTCAAGCTGGCGCTCTCTCCGGCCCTCTTCGCGCACATGACGCAGGAGCTGCCCTCGGGTGGTCTCGGGTCATCTCAGGCAATCTCGGGTCATCTCGGGCGCGCGACTCTCAGGAGCTGACTCGGCTGCCGGCCGCTCCGCCGCTCGTCGTCGCCCTCGAGGGCGGGTACCACGGCCCTTCGGTGGGCGCGTGCTGCGCCGCGGTGCTGCGCGTGCTGCTGGGGGAGGAGGCGGCGCCGCTGCCACACTCGCCTCCAACCTCCCGCGGCGAGAAGGCGCTGCCCACATCTCCCTACATCTCCCCACATCTCCCCATATCTCCCGCGGCGAGAAGGCGTTGCTGCCGTCACTCTCGCTCGCCTCCTCCTCCGCGCACGTCCTGCTCTTTATGAGTGGTGTGTCTGCGAGCAGGCGCTGCTGGCGGCGGTGCGTGCGCAGGCGGCGGAGTATGGGGAGATGTGGGGAGATGTGGGGAGATGTGGGGAGATGTGGGGAGACATGTTGCGCTCGTGGCGGCGGGGCGTGCGCAGGCGGCGGCACACCGTTCACGCACGCGCACTGGGCCTTGCACGTGTGATGCCGTGGGGGGGGGGGGGGGGCTCCTGTTGTTTTGACGTGGAGTGCCCCCACCCCACCGTGTGTGTGTGGAGACGCTACCTTACTAGTACCTACCAGGCGGCGGCGTGGGCGCCTCACGTCTCGGAGGCGGCTGCGCGGCGCTACCTCGAGGCGGAGCGAGGCAGGGGCGCGTCGGCGGTGGCACCGCCGCTCAAGCGGCGGCGCTGCAGGTGAGGCAGGGTCAGGCGTGGGGGTGGGGGCGAGTTGTGTCTGTGGAGCTGCAGACGTGCCCGGCCGCCGGCGGTGCCTCTGTCCTGACCGCGCGCCGTTCTCAGCAGCTCTATTTCCCCCCGCGCCGCAGTCGTGGGCATCATCCATACGTCAGTAAAACTTTATCTGCTGACACGGGGTGAGCTGAGACCGCGGTCCGGGAATTCAGAGTACAGAGAGTTCTCTACGACAGACCACTGTCTCAACACTCAGGCGAGGTGTGCTACGGCTTTTTATAGCTGGGTGGTGACGAGAGACGCGTGAGCTGCGCACCTGCGACCTGGCGTGGGGCAACCCGGGCAAGGGGGGGAGGGGGGCGCCCGGGTTGTTGCACGAGTATATGGGCCAAAAGCGTCGAAAATGTCCCAAAAAGCGTGTCTCGAGTTTGTGGCAGCTCCGCAGCCAGCGCGGGCTGCCGGGACGCACCACTTGCTGGATCTGTGCACTCCCTGGGACCCAGGGAGTGCACAGATCCAACAGGAGTGAGTAGGCTCGACGCCGTACTCGAGATGGAGCTGCCACAAACTCGCCGCCGAGCGTGCCACCGACGGCGTCCCGTCGGAGGTGATGGAGTGTGAGACCTGAGGCTGCGGAGGTGACGCCTGAGGTACCGGCCCGTGCACAGCGACTCAGCCGGCGACCGCCACGGGCTCAGACGAGACTTGTCGACTCGTTCCAGCTCAGCTTCACCGTGGTCCTCGGGCGTCTGTCGACGTCAGGACCACCCATACAGCTCGCGGGTTTGAGGTCGCAAGAGCCAAGATGGTGGCGTTAGGACATCCCAACCATCACACAAGACAGCCTGTAGGTGATGGCGGGACGGCGCAGTGTTTGTGGCACTCGGCAGTAGGCACCCGCGGCACGGCCCCGCTGTCGGCTCTCGCGGGCTGCGGAACCGGCCCCAGAAGGGGACGGTCCGGGCGAGTGTGGCAGCTCCTGCGCTAGTATGGGCAGCCTCTATCATAGCACTACTGATCCTGGTCATTAGAGCTGCCAGGGATAGCGTCAGGAGCCGGTAGGAGTCAAAACCCCTCATATTTGAGACATCGTGGCCCATATACTCGTGCAACAACCCGCCCCTCCTCACGAGACCTGCCACGCCGTTCCTGCCTGTCTAGACGACCGGAGCCGCACAGAGTGGCCGACTAAAGCCGTACGTACACGGTGAGCCATACGGACCTTGCACAAAACCTTTTCCTTCTAAGCAGGGCTACACAATGACCCCATAGTGTGGGGGTGTTCCTGGCGAGTTGTGATGAGTAGAATTAGACTAGCCAATACTATTTTGAAGTTCATATATGAAAATACCAACTTGCCGGCGGCGGCCCGGAGGCGGCCCGGCGGAGCAGTTAGAGCAGCACTGCGCCGGCCGGCGAGCGACTCTCGACTATAGTACGGGCTCTATTGAATGGCCTCAAGGTGCTCTCTAGGACTGCCCTACTCCGCTCGCCCGGCTACGTCGCCGGGCTTCGAAGGAAAAGGTTTCGCTCGGCACGACGTCGGAGAGCACTTGGAGCACTTGGAGTGCAGTTATCAACCTCACATCCAGGGCCGGGGAGCTAAGTCCTAAGAAGCGCACCCAGCGGGCCGAATGATCGGTGTCGGGTTACGGGCTAGAGAGCCCTAGCCCCGGGGGTGCGCGTTCGCAGGGAAAGGGCCTTAAAGTAAACACGGGTCTCACAAGGAATCCTCTGGCTCGGCCGCTGGCGCTGAGAGTGGCTCTGCGGACGGCGGTGCCGCCGCCAGCTTGGCGGCAGCTGCCGCCGCGGGAGTCGCCGCGGGCATGGCGGCGATGGAGAAGGCGCAGTCGGAGAGGGCGCTCGTTCAGCCACGCGCGCCGCCAACCGGTCTCGGCGACTACCGCAGTGGGCTAGGCAGCAGTGCTACGACGGTGCTGCCGCTGGCTGCGCCGCGGCACCTGGTCAGCAGCGAGGCGCTCGAGGGGGACTGTCGCCGCTGCATGCTGGCACTCGAAGGGGCGATCCAGGGCGATCTCCGCGCGAAGCGCGCAGCGCTGGCGGACGCTGCTCGCGCCGTCGAGGCCAACATGGAGGAGGTGAGCACCGAGCCCGCGCACGCACTGCGCCTTGAACATTGGCTGCAGCGGAATAAGTGTTCCCTTGCCCACGCTAGCGTGGGCAGGTGTTCCCTTGCCCAGGCTAGCGTGCATAGACAACGGCCGTCGCGTCACCCCGTCTGTAGGTGAGCCGCGCTGCCGCAGCGGTGCAGGCGGAGACGGAGATGGACGCCGCCGGCGCAACAGAGCGGCTGCAGGCGGCTGCGCGCTCAAAGCTGGCGCTTCTCGGCCAGCAGCTGTCCGCCGTCGTGCTCGACCTCGAGGCGATCGACATATTCGTGTCTGACGTCTCCGCCATTGGGACCCTGCCGGCACTGCCGCGGCCGCAGCAGCCGCAGCAACCCGCACAACCACAGCCGCCATTGCCACCGGGCGCCGCTGGCGTGGAGGACCCAACCATTGCTGCAGCTGCCGCCGCCGCCGCCGCCGCCGCCTCCGCGGCCACGGCCGCCGCTACGCCCCCCGACGGCCAGGGCCCTGCAATGAATGCATCTGTCGCCGCCGCCGCGCCCGCCGCCGCCCTCGCAGCGAGTCAAGCCGCAGCGCTCCCTGCCGACTATGCTCATGGCGCCGGCGCCTCGGACGCCGAGGCCATCGCCGCCGCGCGCGCACTTCTCCAGCGGCAACCGGAGCTGCAGGCGATATATAGCTAGACGCCAGACGCACTGGAGACCTTTGCCACTCCCACCATAGTCGCAGCTTCAGGAAGAGCGCCCTCCAGCCAAGCCCTGCCGCGTGCGGCCCCTAGGCGCGGGCGGCCCGCCTCGCCGCCAAGCAAGTGCCCGCCATCGAGCGCGTGCCGTTCGACGACCTGCCGCGCGAGGCGGCGGCGCGTGCCGCACGGCTGCAGCGCGCCGAGGAGCTCGAGTCGCTCGTGCGCGTCAAGGACTCCATGCTCTGGAGCGCGCTCCAGGCTCTCCTCCCCTCGCCTCTACTGTTCTTACTCTCTCTCGCCGAGCCTCGCGCTCCTTCACCCTGCCATCACCAATAGGAGGGCCGCGCGCAGGAGGCGTCTGCGTCTGCGTTTGCCGACGAGACGGCTGCGGCGAGGGCGCACGCCGAGGCCCTCCGTGCTGGCGCAGAGACGGAGCTCAGCCGGTGGGTAGAATCGACGGACGGCCGTTTGCGGATCGACCATCGTTGATACTGCTACGCGTTTGAACAGGTGGGAGGAGGTTGCGGACGCGTACGCGGCGCAGGCGCGGCGAGATGAGGCGGAGCTGCACGCGGCGCGTGCCGAAGCGCAGGCCCGACTGCCGCCCCCGGCCCCTCTTCGAACATTGCCCAACGTCTCGCCTCGCGCTCACGCTCGTGCGTAGGCGGCTCGCCGCGAGGCGGCGGCACAGGAGCGATCCGCGATCGAGCACGCCGCGGCAGCGGCGGCGGCCGTGGCGGAGCAGCACGCGGCGCGCTCGGAGGCTGCGCGTGCACGAGCGGTGGCCGAGCAGCTCTCAGCGCACAACCAAGCCGACGCAGTTAACGCGTGCGGACTGCCGCAATCTCACAGTCTCACCATGCCCGTCGCTCTGAGTAGGCGCTCGTCGCGCATGCCGAGCAGTTGCGCGCCCAGTTGTCGATGCTCGTGCCGCTACCACTGGACGGTGCCCCTCGGGAGGCCGGGGCTGTCGCCACGGCGCAACCGCGCGTGGCGGCGGCGACGGCCTGGCGCCAATCTCCAGCGAGCGCGTCGCTCGACTGAAGCGCCGAGGCACAAGTCAGGCCACTCGCAACCTGTGCTGACAGTGGGTCGCTTGGCAGAGGCGTGACGTTTGTTGATGGTTGCCATGAGAGGTCCTCACCACGTCACCAGGGGCACCGCTTTTGCAGTGTGCGCGGTGTCATCAGAGATCAGTCGCATGGCTCATATGCGCTCATCCTCATGCCGACTCGCGACTGTGTCGACACACCTGTCTCCGCAAAAGAACCTCTTGCCATTCCCATAGAGACTGACACCGACCGCGTTGCGTGTCTGGCGTCTCGTACGCCGCTCATCCCAACTAGCACACGAGCCACTGACTACTGGCTTTAGCCTTTACGCGAACGCGTCCGCTCAGAGATACGGCCTCAACGTTAAACCTCCTCTGGGGGGTAGACGGGCTCGCTCTTGGAATCGGTGATCGCTCACGGGCGCCTCAGCGGCCCATCATGAGAGGCTCTCCCGTCTCAGGATCGTGATCGTCGAGCGTGAAGCCCGAGCCCACGAGGCAGCGGGAGAGGTCGCGCAGGAACTTGGGGATGCCCGTGACGGGGTGCTGGACGAGTGCTGCGACGGCTGTGGCGATGCAGGCCACAGGGCCCTCAATGACACCACACGTGGAGTAGTAGGTGAGGCACACGAGGTTTGGGGGCAAGGACGCTCCGATGATGGCTCGGACGGTCTCCGCCATCGTGTCAATCGGCGCGTTGCACCCATCGGGCTTTGCGCAGACCGGAGGGTGTGGATGGGACGAGAAGAGCGGCTTGCGCGCGAGCTTGTCGGCGGGGGCGGCCGCGGCAAGGGTGGCGAGAACAAGGGCGAAGATGGTCCTCATCATGGCTGAGCAACACGGGGTTGGTCTTCGCGAAACCTGAAGCCGCCCGTCGCCGCGTTTCGGTGCATTGTCTAACAAGTACAGACACGGAGGAGTGTAGAGCAAAACGCTCACGACAGGGATTGAGAGAGATTTTTAAGACCAACTTCTTGGGATTGATGATCTTTCCCTACATACGTGTGACGTGTGTGTTTGTACTCTCCTCCTTCGCTGCTCCATCTCCTCATCTCTTTCCAACCTAGGCGGAGCGGTGGGCGTGTGCGCGCGCGGCGGGCGGCGGAGCAGACCGCGAGGTGCGCGGCGCGATGCTCTGGTCGGGGCCCTCCCCTACCCCCACAACCGAACGTTGCCGTGAAGCGGGGGCGCGTTGGCTTCGAGCGCCTCCTCAGCCTCTCGGATCGTTACCCTTTCCGGCGCATTTGCTGTAGCCGCAGATGAGCTACGACCCTCCCTCCTCCGCCGCCGCTTTCACCTCCTTTGCCAAATCATGCGCGCCCTTGTTCGCGTGGCAAACGAGGATGGTGACGACACCGGTAAAGACGTGCGGTCGTATATCGCCCGGCACCGCGACGCCCGGCGTGAGTTCACTGGTGTGTAGGTAGTACGGGGTGTGGCGAAGCATGCGCAGCGCGATCTCCTTGAGCGACTCCACCTGGAAATCGTGCACCCGCACCCACACGATCGGATCCGCCTCGTCAAATACGCGCGCAAGCACCTCGTCCGGCCCGCTGTAGGAGGGGTAGGCAGGTGGGGCGACCTCGACGCAGCTCTCGCGGCACTGTCTCGTCCCGTAGAGCCTGGATCGAGGCGCCCCCCTTGGCCGAGTCCGCCTCGTGCACGACAATAAATGGCCGCTTCGAGGCCAGCGCAGCGTGCAGCTCGCGTCGACAGTTCCAGCTCTTGAAGTAGCCGTGGGCGATGCCCGAGAGGGTTTCATTTAGGTAGGACGCAAAGGGAAGCCAAGCGTCGTCGTTGACCCAACATAGAGGGCGTTGTGTAGCCTAGCTTTTGGGTAATATAAAAGGGAAGCAAGCGTCGTCGTTCGGTGCGAAGACAGTGAGATTCAGAGAACGGTTCGAAAGTCCGGCAAGGACGTCCGGAGCGGCGTTGTTGACCACGGTGTTGAGCGTCGAGAGGTATTCGGTCCTCGGCGAGGATCTCTGCGATGGTCTTGCAGGCGGGCGTCGGCTCGGGCGTCGGGACGGTGGAGAAGCCGAGCGGCGAAATCGAGAGCAGCGAGGCGAGAGCCAGCATGTAGTCTGCTCTCGGGGGGCCGGGCGGGCGGGCGGTAGGGCGGGGGCCCACGGGGGGGTGGGGGGGGGCGTAAAACTCGGGTTGGGTTCCCGCGCTCTGGGGGTGGGCTTTGGTGGCGCGCGATCGAGGGTGGCGCGCGCGTACTTGAGCAGGCGGTGAGTGAGCGCCGCAGTTGGCGCAGTGGCCCTGCGAGTAGGCGTGCGCGGCATGTGGACGCGCACTCTGGTATTTAGAGGAGCTGCTCTCCAGGCTTCAGGCGCAAAGAGATGCGTGCCACCGAAGGCGCTGTCGAGGTTCGCCGAGCGCGGCGTTTGGTACCTGTGTCGAACCTGTGTGCTGTGCGAGAGAGCGGCTTCAAAGGATATCCACCTCGAGAACCTCGAGAGGGACGTGCGTGTAGCCGTGAATACTTTTTTCTAAAAGGCGACTCCTTTGCAGCGGCGGCGGCCCGATGACGAATCTCGCCGCGCTGTCCAGCCAGCTGGCCTCCGCCATCGCGCGCGTCGAGCTGCAGCGGGCCGCGCTGGAGGAGGCCCTGCTCCGCATCTCCGGCGAGGCGCAGACGCTGCAGGCCGCCGCCGCCTGCCTCCTCGACGCCGCAGCGACGCAGGGCGGCGTGCTGGAGGCGCTGCAGGCGGCGGCGGCGCAGAACAATGGCGGAGGAGGCGGTGGCGCGCACGCGCTCAAGCCGCCGCGGCCCACACCGACGCCGCTCGCCGCCGCACCGCCCGCCGCACCGCCCGCCGCACCGCCCGCCGCACCGCAGCGTGCGCCGCCGCCCGCCGCGCCTCCAGCTGTCGCTTTGGCCGCGCAGCCGCGCGTCGCGTACGTGCCCGAGGCGCGCCGCGCCGTCATCGAGCCGGAGATGTCGGACGACGAAGGGATCGAGTACGTCTCGGGCGCCGCGGTGCGGCAGGTGAGCTTCCGAGACAGCTCCGAGTCAGCTCTGGCCGTGAGGGACCGTTGCAAAAGGCCCTGCGCCTCGTGTGCCCGCGAGTGCGTGAGCCCCGTCGTGGCCAGGGCACTGACTGACGGACGCTCAACACTCGCGTCAGGTCTCGGGCGGACATCCCGGAGGCGCGCCCGTGCTCGGCGGGACTCTGCAGGTGCAGCGTCCGCTCACCCACCCACACCGCGCACCGGGCCTTGCACTCTGATGCCGTGGGGCCGTTGTATTATACCGGTCCTTGTGTGTGTGTGTGTGTGTGTGTGTGTGTGTGTGTGTGTGTGTGTGTGTGTGTGTGTGTGTGTGTGTGTGTGTGTGTGTGTGTGTATGTGGAGCAGTGCACCTGAGAAGTGCGCCTTCCCTTGCCTGTCCCTGTAGGCCAGCGCAGAGTTTGTCGGAGGGCCGAGCAAGGGCGAGGTGAGCTGGTACAGGCTCCGAGGCCTAGATGCAGTCGGTCAGCCAGTCAGACAGTCTTACACACGTCCTAGCAATGGGGGCACACGCACACGCGGAGCACACGGGGCAGACACACGAGGCGTTGTGTGTGCGATCGACAGGGTTGGCAGTCATAGAGTCATCAGTGTAGCGAACGGACGTTTCTCGGTAGCGTGTGATCACCTCGCTCACGCCCTCGAGGCCTAGATGCGGAATACAGATACTTTGCACTCCGAGGGGCACTCGAGAGGCCAGTTCAGCTGTGCTCGTTGCGCTCGCAGCCCCTGAGTTCCGTGCTCTGAATACTCGGCACGACACCGTGGTCACTCCCTGACGTCGGCGTATTCGTGCTGCAGGCTTCGAGGCGGGAGGGAGGAGCCAATCTCTGGTGCCGATGGACTGTCGTACACTCCCACGGCGGACGACTTTGAGTTGCGGTTGCGTGTCGCCTTCTCCTCAGTCGTGGGCGGCGACCCGGTGACAGTGGACACGCAGCCGGTTGGGGCAGACGCAGGCTTCATGGCGGAGCTAAACAAGCAACTTGGCTCGCTGCTGGGCAAGCGGAGCGGCGAGGCGAGCTTCAGCGTGCGCGGCGGCGGGGGCGAGGGCAGGGTGGTTGTGCTGTCGCGGGACAAGCTCAAGGTTCGCAAGAAGGGGCGGGTGGGGAGCGACCAGACGCTGCTCAAGGCGGAGTTCTCGGAGGGGCTCAGCCTGGCAATGGACCCGTTCGATGACGTCCGCTTCGAGGTGCGGGCACGCCGATGCGCGGGGTATGCACACACGCGTGGTGGTCCATCCCTTGTGCCGCACAGAGACGCCCTGATGTTGCTGAGAGCACCGACGCGACGATGACCAGCTCACCAATGGTCAGGCCGGTGTGGGCTCGAGACTCCAGCCCAGCCAGCGTCCCATCAGCAGCTCTTTGATGGGACCGCAGGTGCTGCCGGAGGGGAGCGAGCCTGTCGACCTGTCGGCAGACTCGCGGCGCGGGCGCGACATGCTCGTCCTGATTGCACGGCGCCTCTCGCCGGCGTCCGGCGCGACCCACGCCCGCGCGGCAGCGGCGGAGGAGGAGGAGGAGGGCGGCTTCATGGACGACCGCAAGCGAGGCTGTCCGGCTAGAACCGGAATATCTCCCCACATCTCCCCACATCTCCCCATATCTCCCCATATCTCCCCATATCTCCCCATATCTCGGGCTGCTAGAAGGCGGAAGACGCATTCTTGTCTTCCAGCCGGCCTACGCTCGAGAGGACACGCACTCCGCTCTCTTCTGCCGTGCTCGGCTGTCTTCAACTGTATTCGTAGTGTGTCTCCACGGTGCCCCGGCCACACGGCTCGAGACCGTACTCCCGCCTGAATGTCGGCGCACTCGCCACGCGCAGGTCCCCTCCCCCACGGTACCCGAACCCACCCTCCCCTACCCCCACGGTACCCGAACCCACCACGCGCAGGCTTCTCGGACCACGAGGAGGCGGGGTCGGCCAGCGAGGGCGACGGGGAGGAGGACTTCAAGCCGAAGATGAGGATCTCGATCCGCAACACGCCCGCGCCCGCCGCCGCCGCGCCCATCGCCCTCGGCCTGCCTCCGCCCGCCCCCGCGCGCCGCCGCTCCACCTCGGACACGCTCAGCGGAGCCGCGGGGGGGGGGGGGCCGCCGCCGCCGACGCCGTCCCTTGAAGAAGGGGGGTCCCCTCGCCATGAGCTAACGAACGCGATCAAGTATTGAATGGGAGGGACGCCCCCCCCCCCCCCCGGGGAAGGTTTCCCCTCGCCGTTTATGAATGAATGAATGAACGAATGAATGATTAATCGGACGACCCTCCCCCCCCCCCGCCTCCGACCCCTCGGCAAAGGTTTCCCCTCGCCGTCCGTTGGCGGGGCGGCGTCGGCGACGCCGCTTGCGCCGCCCTCGCTCCCGCTCCGCGCCGCCTCCACCACAGCACTGCACGGTGGCGGCCGCTCCCACGCCGCGCCGTCGCCGCGCGCCGCACTACAGGCGCCGCCTAGACCCTTCCTAGACCCTTCCTCGACCCTCCCTTGACCTTTCCTCGACCCTTCCTCGACCTTTCCTCGACCCTCCCTCGACCTTTCCTCGACCTTTCCTCGACCTTTCCTCGACCCTCCCTCGACCTTTCCTCGACCTTTCCTCGACCTTTCCTCGACCTTTCCTCGACCTTTCCTCGACCCTTCCTCGACCTTTCCTCGACCCCCACCTCGACGTGCCCCGCAGGCCCCGCCCGCCGGCGCCTGCTACCAGCTGCAGGTGATCGAGCGGGTCGACGCGCGCTTCGAGGGGCGCGAGATGCGCCAGTTCGCGACGGCGGGGGAGGTGCGCAGAAGATGAGCAACAGATGAACGGCGAGTAGTTCTGCGAGAGAGTGAGTATGAATCGTTCGCGACGGCGGGGGAGGTGCGCGCGCTGTCGGTCGTGGCACGTCCCACGGTCCGCAGCCAGATTGCGTCTATTCTAAGGGCGCAGATCCTCGCTTGTCTATCTAGAGCGACAAGTGTTGCCTCGCTGCAGTGTGGCCGTCGTCCCGCCGTATGAGCCTCCACCCACACGGGGAGCGTGTCCCAGTCCCTAGCCAGACTGTGCCTCGCCTCTACCGAGGTGCGCGTGCTGCCGCTCTCCGGGCGGCCGCAGCCGCCGGGCGGCGTCTCCTTCTCCCTCGCCCTCGGGTCTGCCGACAAGGTGTCTGCACGCTCTCGTATCTCGGCTGTGTATCCACTGTACTTGTGGCCCTCTCTCGGCGGTCTCTCGGCGGTACCTCGGCCGTAGCTCGGCTGCAGCTCGGCTATATCTCCGCTCATCCCCTTTCGTCCCCCTGATTAGGTGACGGCGGTGCGAGAGAACGGCACGCTGCTGCAGAGCGCCGGCGGCGGCAGCTACAAGGTGAAGCTGCCGCCGTCCCTCGGCGCGCCGGCGTCGCTGCTCAAGTACAGATGAGTTCGCGGACTCACTAGTCGATGGACTTCATTCAGGCGCGCCGGCGTCGCTGCTCAAGTATAGCGCTGTGCAGAGCTGGAGGCAAATTCCATCTAGATGCCAAGAAATGGTGTGTGTGGGGGGGGGGGGGAGGGGGGGGAGGGAGGGGGGAGAGGGGGGGGGGTTAGTCTTGCGTGATGGCATCCGTGGGGGCGGCATGGGGGCTCAAAGGAGGCTGGTAGCATTGA